CCAAGGTAATTAAATATAGCAGCAACCTCTCTTTCTCCTGCTTCCCAGCCTATTAGAGAAGTAGTTTTGCAGCCTGTTCTGTAAGAGCTCGTCTCTTCCTGAGCTTAGGACACAATGCTTTCAGAAAGGCTGAAAGTCGTCTTAAATAGATCTTAATATGACTTTGTACATACTTCACGTTTTCAGCTGGGACTAGAGTTCACTCGGCTATCTTGCGGTTTTTAGAGGCACATAAGGAATGGACTGAAAGTGCAATTTGTCGCATCTACAAACGCTGAAACCGTATTTCCATGCTTGTATACGTACCTTTTCCTTCTGAGTGCTGACCACGTCGGAGTGTACAGATTGGCAAATGTCAGAAGGTGACAGCTCTGTGCATACACTGTGAAAGGACAAGAGAGAAAGAGGGAGTCATACTGCGGGTTTCAGAATTTTACAGTTTAAACTTCCATCCAAGGGTGGACATAAATCGATTTCCTTCTCATTTGTGGGATATTGCAAAATACTGGGGAAAAATGTGTTCAATATATCTTACAGGCACTTCACCAGTGAGTTGGTGCAGCAGCTTCCTTAAGCTTAAGTGCATCAGAACCCTGGCTTTGCATTACAAATGACCTGAGTCCATTAGTCTCAGTCTCCTTCATGTCTCTCTTGTCCCTCCCTGAGAATAAGACATGGATGGAGCCCCACTGGGGAGTCCAGGACTGGTCAGAAGTGGAGGCTGTGGGGAAGCAGGGCAGATTTGGCACAGGGACCTCAGCTGAACTGTGTAGGCTGCAGCTTTCCTAGATTCTGCTTGTCTCTGGTATCTCCCTTGCACGAGCGATGAATTCACCCTAAAGTGACTTTAGAAGGAAAAAGAAAAAGCTTCACCCTGTTCTCATACCTTGCATTGGAGAACTCCTATACGTTGGGGCAAATACTCATTAGTCACCCGGCAGTTGATGAAAACCAGTAGTGGAAACGCATGTATGTTGAGCGGCTGCATGTGTCATCGGAGCATGGAAATTCCAGGGGATGTAGAGTAAGCGAGAGGCGAGCTGCAGCCCTGGTCTGTGCAGGAGGGAGCAGGGGCAGAGCAGTTCAGGTTGCTGCCAGGATCTCTGATGCTGGCTGCTTACCTTCCCAGCCGCCCGGCTGGACTCAGAGACGCACCTTGGCTCTGGATAACGATTTGGGGCCTTTTCCATTCGTTCATTTGGGACTTTCTTGGGATGGGGGCTAGCGGCACAGCAGCCGCTACAGAAGCAGGTTGGATTTTTTAAGTTTCAATTTAATGCCACCACCCACCGCAAGCGAGCTGTTCGAGCATGGGCTGTTAGTTATAACCGCTTTGCTTTGTGCTACAAGTGCACTGCGAAGTGCTTAGCTGAGGAAGTTGAATCTTGTGAGATCGGTTTCTACTCTGCTGGAATACGAGACGAGAGAAGCAGATCAGAACTGCTCTGAGGGGATCGTTTCAATGCTTGCAGAAGGGAAGTGGTTTTGCCGACTGACAAAATCACAAGTATTTCCTCCGCTCTCTTTTTTTCACAATCCTGGTGTCTAGCAGGTTTGCTCGACTCTCCGTTCGGTCAGGCTATACACCTGTGTGCGATGAAATCCCAGGGCAGTTTTGCCTTGCTTTGGGATCCTTTCCCAACGTGGCTTTTTCACCCCGTCTTAGGCCAAATCTTTTATTGAATTTGCACAAACACCTTTATTCCTATGAGCGCTTCCTAGCTGGACACATACAGCCCCTCCGACTGCAAACGGAGATCGAGGAGTCCCATCCTAGGCTGGTCTGAAGGGTGAAGTTTGGATTAAACTTGGTCTTGGCATTGAGGCCAGTGACCAGTGAGTAAAACTCCTTTAAAAGGACGGGGGTTTCTCACTGCTAGGAGTGCAGGGCAACGGACAGGTCATTGCTTCGGCAACGGGAGAGTGAGGGACTGGTACTGAAAGGCTGGTTTTATTTGTACAGCCAACATCAAAAGAGGATAGAGGAGGTTATAAAACTACACCGGCAAAATGCTTTTCTACTGCACTAGGGTTTTCCAAGCCAGGCTTAGCTAGAGCTCCCTCGTCAGCATCGTTATTCCCGAGATGCTCCACAGTGCTGCTGGCAGTGAGGGGCGAGGAACTTGTCCAGCCCCCCGCTCTAGGTAGATGCACGCACCGTTGCTGGAAGGAGGTTTGCGCTGCGGAAAGGGAATTAATTTGTAGGAATGGTGACCTTAGGAAAAGTTTCTTTCTTGCTGAAACACTCATTCTGGAGACCAGTGCAGAGGCTGATACCAGACCATGAAGTATTAAATGTTCAAGAAAATGATTTGTACCCAGCCCTATCTAGCAATTACAATAAATAACGCAGTTGTTGCAGGGCAGACAAGCGTCAGCGTCCCTGTCGCGTCCACCAGCTCCCTGTGGAAACCTCTGCAGGGACGCTGAGAACTGAGTGTGCCGTATTATTTAATACTATTTCAGGGCTATTTAAGCACACTGAGAGGCTGGGCAGGTCTGCAGGCTGGGGGTGCGCAGAAGTTTGCATTACAGCCAGGCTATTAATGGATTTTTCAGTTCTGTGGCTGAACCAAAAAAATCCCATGGGGAAGAGGAAAATTGTTTCAGTCAAACTGAAAAAGCAATGTTTGGAGGTTTCAGTGAAACAAAGCGATCCTGACCAACCTGGCAGATTTTTGTTTGAGTTGCTTAACCCTTCTGACGTTGCTGTGCTGCTTTTTGAAACAGAGGCATCCTCACTGGAAAGGAACTCACAAATTCGCATCGAGACAATTGCAGAACAAAAATCTTCCAACATTTAAAAATGGTGTTTTAGAGCCCTCCCTCTTCTGGCTAAAAATATTTGCTGAATTTGACCTGAAGCCATGAATTCTTTCTGTCCCTTGAAACTCTTATTTTGTTTGTTTGTTTTTGACAAATTTACTGCTTGTGGAGGAGCCTCCGCCCGCGCTGCCCCATTTGCGCAGCTGCTGCTCTGAGCCCTTCCCCGGGTCCCTTCTCCCCTGGCCGGCGTGCCAGGACACATTTTCTTGTCCTCAGACCTGCTCTAACCTAACCTTGCTTCCCGCACCCCTCCGGCACCCCAGTGCTTCCGACCGGGCAGCGCTGCTGCCTGCGTGTGCCCGTCCCTGTGCCGCCCCAGGTACGCGGCACCATCCCTGCTCTCGTCTGCCAAGCTGAACTCCCCCGCCGCCCAAAAGCTCGCTGCCCCGCAGCGTTTCCTCCAAGCAGACTGTCAAAGCCAGGCAACTGAGCATCTTTCAGCAGCAGTAAATCCATCCTGCAGAGTGTTTGGCACAAGAGCGGTGCTAGGCTTTCGCTCTCTGGCTTTCTCCAGGGCTGGATTTCACCCCACAGTCCCATAGCTGCGAGCCAAAGGAGATTTGTAGGCGGAATAAAATCTTTCCCTTTTATTTGCATTAACCAAAATCCTTTGGCTTGGCTAATAATTGTAGGTACGGGTAGATGCCTGGAATAAATGTGTCGGGAACTAGGGAGGGAGAAGAGTATCTGTATTTAGAGAGCAAAATGAGAATGAAACGCTGTACAGTATCACGCTGCGTGTGTCCTTGTCCGGCTGGTAATCTCCTGCAGGACAGTGAACCTTGTAGTGCTGCTGCCTACCTGGCAAACACCCCAGCTGAGACCTGCGGAGGGAAATCAGCCCCAGCTCCCTGCGATATGAGCTGATCCGCTGCGTGTTCTTCCTCCCTGCATTTAGTTCTCTCCCATCCTCAATTTTATCCCTAGCAGAAGTGCAAGGCTGATGTTGCCAGGCAGCCTTGCCATGAACTAGAACAGGATAGCCATGACCATGACATGCACCTTGCTGAGCCCTCGCTGCCCCCCTGCAGCCGGAGCATCCACGCGTGGGTCACGATCTGTCAGCGGTGTTGCACTGCTCTGCTTCTGGCGCTGCCAGCCTCCCACATGAGCTGCTGTCCCTCATCTTCGACGTGATGAAGGCAACAGTCCGGCTCGTTTCTGCTCCCCTCATGGGGACGTACTCCATTTGGGTTGCTGTTGCTTTTATCTGACCCTTTTAGCTGCGCGCTGTCCTTTCATGAGGTGGGTTGGCTGATGCTTTCTGGCTGCCTGCCCTCGCCGTGCCCTGCTGCTGCAGGGGAGGGGGTTCCCTCTCTGTTCTCCAGCAAAGAATTGTTCCTGCGTTCCTCCCAGCTTGTTCCTCAAGCAAAGCAAACTGGTGGGTATTGACGGCAGGTGGGAGGGCTGGCGCCGCTGGGGAGAGAAAACCCTCCTTGGAGCCTTGGTGTTCACCTGCCATTTTCTGTGTGTGATCAATGACACAGAATTGCAGCTGCTCTTCCTTCTTCTGCCCTTGCTTCATTTCCTTTCTGAAGGGAAATCCTTGCACTGCCCTTCGTCTGAACTCCTAGGCGTGTTCTGCTCTTCATGTGTGGCTCACGCAGTGCTCGATCCTGAGACCGGAGCAGCACCAGAGGCATCATTATTCCAGAGCAGTGGATGCTCTGCCTCCCCCATCCATCAGATGGCTGTGCCTGGCCAAGGTTACCATCAATTAATAAACTTAACATGCAACAAACTTGGCAAACGTGCCGAGTGCTGCGGGCGGGAGGGCTCGCATGTTTGCTTGAGCAATGGAGCTGTCACAGCTTTGAGGA